TATACGTACATGTTCTTTTCATCTGAAATATTTTTTTTCTTTCGATAAAAATAAAAGTAAGAAGTCATTTCAAGGATATGCAACCACCAAAACTCGACAGTTTAAATACTTCATGATTTTAAAAAAGGAAAATGATTATACACAAACAAATCTGAGAGAGGAATGAAAAAAAAAAAGAAAAGGTAAATCTTATCAAGATTTTCAATTTTTAATGGAATTCTTGAGTTTAAAATAAAAAGAAAATCCTGTTTTTCCTTCCTGTTGTTAGAATATTTTTTTTCCTTTGTTTTATTTTTCCTGTTATTGTTTTTTCAAACATGTCTTGAATTATTTCATTACAGATTATTGTATACAAGCATTATTTTTCTGTTATATTCTATGTACGTTCAGCTATAAGAAAGTAAAAAATAAAAATAATGAAAAATTAAATAAAACAACAGTGTGTTGTTATGATTAAAAAGAAAATGTAATTTAAAATGAAAATCATATCTTTTAAAAAATTGAATAACTTTATATAAGTACAAATAAATAAGTGTGATAAGAAGTATGAAAAAGATTAGTAATTTTTGTTGAATAAAAAAAATATAATGGAAAATAAAAATATTTTGAACTTGTATGAACTCAAAATTTTAAGTTCATAAATTTAAATTAAATTTAAACTTAAATTTAGACTCAGCAGCAGCTCTGTTGTAAAACTAAAGAGATGAATAATTCAATAATAGGAGCGAACGTTAGGGATAGGCAAAATGAAGACAGTTTTTAATTTGTGAGGGATTACATTAAAAATTTTTTTAATTCATGAAGCTCTTTTGCGATTAGTCTTATTCTAATTTCGTATTATTAACTTTAATTTCTAATTTTAAATATTATCAATTACTTCAAACATGTGTGATAGCTTATATCGTAAACCATACCTTAAAATCTCTTTAATTAACATAAATTTTAACAGTGTCTAATGTGAACTATCTTTGGATTATACTCTTTTGAGAATATTTTGAAAATCTTTTGAGGGGCTGCACAGATAAATTGCATGGAGAATATTGAGTAAAGAAATTTGCTAAATACAATTACCATGCAATTCATAGGCATACTATTTTTATGCAAATATTTTATAAATTAAAATTTTACTCCTACATATTAAACTTCTGGTTTTAATTACTACTGAAATTGAAATAACTGAATTGATAATCATTGTATTGAAACTGGAAATTGTAAAAGAAATTAATTAAAATTCACAAGTCCAAGAACTGCTGCCTAAACAATCAGGAATTAAAACTTTATCATTAGACATTCTGAATCAAAATTTTGCTATTTTTGCTAAAATTCTAATAAGAGTAAAATAAATAACCATATACATGTATAAATTCCAATCATTTTTCACTTAAAATATTAATTAGATCTAATGCTTGCGATTATTAAGGTCGATTCTATTGCCATCGAAAATCAATTCATATTTTGTGATTTTATACCGAAAAAGAATTTCAAACCAAAAATTTTGTACAATATGTTTCAAGTCTTTATCATATTTTTTAAGATCCTTAAAGCTTCAAAATCAATTGAAAGTCAAATTTAACACTTTAAGGTATAAAAGTCATATGATTTTAGTTAAAAATAAGGACCACCAACTTTGTTTAAATTACTAACTTTAAAAATTTAATTCAAAAACTTTAGATAAAAAATTCGTTCAATTTATGTGAACAAATGCACTTTTAAGGTCAAAAATACTTTTTTGACATAATCGAAAATTTAATAAAATTTTTTCACAAATTTCCCGTAAAAGTTTTTTATATCAAGGCAACTACTGCTATAAAAATTTTTTAGTACATCTTTTGAGTAAAATACAATTATTACTATTGTTTGTATAAAAATACTAATAAAGGAAAAAAAATCCAAAATATGACGACTTGAATATTTTTATGATTTATTACATTTGTTTCATATATGCGGTGTACATAAATTTTGCGAATAACACCTTTTCACTTTACTATAATGTTTCATTTAAACAAAAAGGATACAAATTATAATAAAAGTCAATAAAACTAGAATAAAATTCGTGGTTTTTTGTTGTTAAATTGTAATGAATTTCTTTTATCCGCCATTAAAGAAATCAGGTAAATTTATAATTTATCATCGGTACTAGTATAGTGTACAACAACTTTTTATCTCTGAATTGAATATAATTTATTGGCGAAAGTTATAAAAGGATACATAAAATATAAGTTGTAATTTTCCCGGCTTTCAATTTTTGCAAGGAAAATGTAAATTTCTGTTATTTTCCGGCAATATAAATAATTTAAATGCGATCATTTCAAAATAAAGAACTCAAAGCAAGCAAATATTTATAAAACAAAATTAGTAAAACAATCCGCTTCCTTTATACTACTAAGTTTGTTGAGAAACATTGGTAATACCTACATTGGCTGAAAAGTATTCATACATTAAATTCATTACTGCATCGGATTACACTATAAAAAAAATATAAGAGAAAAAAAAAACATTAAAACTTAATAATCTTTAATATTTCAAAAAGAAAAATAGGAACAATAAACCACCAATTCAAACGTATAATAATCACGGGAGAGTAAAACCACTAACAATAACAATTTCTTACAATCAAGGTGAAAAAAAAACTTAAGAAATAACATTCTTTTTTAACACTAAAATATTTTCTCTAATTTTTTCCCTTTTATATTTTGAACGTTTCACCCAAAACTGTATACGTTATTTAAGGAATCTTCAAAAATGAAAACGTTTTTTTTTTTTTGTGCTATACACGCCCTCAAGAATTCTTCCAAAAGAAAAAACAACCACTTAGAATTTTATCTACAATATATTTTTCAAAAACTAAGATTTTAATACTAAAAAGGATACTGCAAAAGAATAAAACTATTATAAATGTAGGATATTAAACTGTTATACACTATATACGATATATGAATATTTATTATAATATTTATATTAAGCGAGAAAAAAAAAGTTTTTTTTTTTTGTAATATCCTTGAATTGCAAGCAAAAAAAGACAAAAGCAAAATATAATAACAAAAACATTGAAAGAAGAAGGAAGAAAAGAAATATTTAAGATGGTTGTTGCGGTTTCCCTTCTCATGGTGTTAAGACTGTATAGTAGAAAACTAAACTAACAAATATTATAACGTTGAATATTATGTAATTTGAAAAAAAAAAACATTTCCACATTTAATAACTTTAATAGTTTTGTGATTTGAAGAAAAAATTAAAGTGAAAATGAAGACTTTTAAAGATTATCTAAAACGATTATTTTCATGTTGGTTGCACTTTATGTGCAACATATATATACATATATATTTAGTATTATTATTATATGATGATTTATTTACACCCAAGTGCACTCAAGGTAATCTGTTATACGTGGGTATACGATGGTTTACAATATATAAAGAATTTTTCAATTTAAATTGTAAGTTATTTTTAGTTTTGGAAATTTAAAGATAGTTTTCTTGAGTTATGCAAACAGTGTGATATATATTACAAATTTTATGGAATATTTATTTAATATCCTGTAAATATCGATTATTTTTACAAGCTATTTTATTTTCAAAAATATTTTTTTTATATATATATATAAAGAAGATCTGTTTCATTTTTAATACAAAATATTTCCTATACTTATTACAGAGCTTTGAAAGAACTATTTCAATATTGCTTACAAAACTTACATACTAATTCAATATTTAAAATGAAGATTATAATCACATTCTTTAAGGTTGAAATCTTACGACATTCTGCTATATGTCAATTATATTCGAATATAATTTTGCGATATAAGAATTGCAATGTTATATTTCATTCTTTTACCATTAAAATAATTCATTATTTAAACAGCATAAATGATCACAAAATGATACAGAAGAATAAATATAAGCAGAAAACGAAAATTCAGACGTAATGATTTTTTTGTTAAAAATTTCAAAAATCAGCATTTATTATGACTTGTTTATTATTATTTATAACGCAATAAATTCGGGAAACCAATCAAGTACACTAAATTTCGTAAGCTTCATAACTTATGCAATCAATAAACTATTATAAAAAATATAAATAATTATGACAAAATATTAAGGTGGGGTTCAATTAACACAGCAAGCCCTCTTAAGAGTTATAACTCCCTCTTAATATGGGGTTCAGTTAAAACAACAAGCTCTTAAGAGGTAGTTTTCAATTCATGTCCAGGTTTAAAACTGCGGCAATTTTAAACAAAAAAATTATACTTTTGATTGAATTTGTATCTAATAGATATTGCCTTTAATATTTTTTAATATTTTTATGCAGAATTATTGCAATGAAGTTTTTAGTGAAAAAGTTAAATAAATATCAATATCCAATAGGATGGACCCTGTTTGTCTTAGAACATGAAACAGGTACAGCCTCGGCGAAATCAAATTTGTTAAAATTTTATTTAATAGATAATGAAAATTTAGTTTTCTTCCTTAGTTTTACTTTTTTCATCAAAAATTTCACCATTCTAAACTTAATATTATTGCAACATAATACAGTCACAAAATTTTCATTATTTTATACAACACAATGCGAAATTCATTTTCGCATGTTTGAATTAAAGGAAATATTTTGTACATTGAAAAATTAAAAAAAAAGATATTAATTTTAAAAATACTAGAGATACAATTCTTTTATTTTGATATTGCAGGATTCTCCGTAGTTCCCACTTTTTCCAGTTTTATTGTTCATATACATCTATACATACACATACATATTTAGGAATACATATATGAATGTACACATGTATTCATTTTTAAAATAATTTTTTCTTACAACTTCTAAGAACGTCAGAGATAAGATTGTATATTATATGTGTAGAATATACACTTAAAATGTCATCTCAAATAATTTTATTTTTTAAATTTAAAATTTAACAAAATGAAAATTCAATTGAAATCTATAAAAATAACAGAAATTAAATAAAAGCTGACTTTCTCTTTTAACATTTCGTTATTTTTTTTTATATTGCAGGAATTTTTATGGAAATAGCAACTAATATTTTGATATCATAATACGTCAAATGTAAGTACATACATATAAATTTTTAAATTCTTTTTTAAATAAAAATTTTTATTTCACTATAATTCTTTAATAGTTTTGTATAAAAATTAATAAATTCTCAGAAATCTTTAAGGTTTTGATGTGAACAATTTTTGCATACTTAGCAAAGTATACCATATTTTATTACTTATTATTCATTATTATACGAGTAAACCTTTTTAATTACATTAATGAATTCTGAAATCATAAATTTATTATTGTTTTTACAACCCTTGTATAAACCTCACACCGGATATTTGGGATTTTCTAACCGATTTTTAAGCTATTTCTACAAGTCCGATTAGCTTCAAATTCTGCACGGAGTTCTAAGTCTAATGACAATGCAATATTTTTGTTTTTTTTTATTGGAGGGGGTGGGAGCTCGGTTCGATGAGCTTCCATAAAACTCTCCTCTAGCGGAAACCGATATCTTTCAATCTATTCAAGTTCCATACTTCAAATTTTACCGAAAGTTGTCGAATAATGTACCTAAGTACATATATATTTGCATATAAAGATTATATTAAAAGGAGTTGTTCGGAAAGTTCAGTTTGATGAGCCACCGAACAATTCCATTTCTGCCCATCCTAATCTGTTACAGCAACATTTTTGAAATTAGAAATTTCAGTTTGTTGGGCTTACAAAGAATTTTTATTTCGTATGTGATCAAAATTATAAACTTAAAAATTTCATATGATATTGTCGAATATTGTGCCCAAAAATATACTTCAGTGTGGGGGTTTAAAAAAATGCTTTTACAAAAAATTTCGTTTAAAATTACATACATACGCATCTATGCACACATATGCATACGTAAAAAAGTTGGTTAAGGTCAATATTAAAATCGAAAAAACTATAGGTAGCAAGGTGCAATAGAAAATGTAGAATATGTTTTCGGCAAGAAAACATGTAAGAAACCTTGTGCAAAATGCAAGGAAATACTATATAAACGACACTGAAAAAATTTTCACTATTATTTTAATAAAATTGATATCAAATTAATAAAAATGTCATTAAAATACATCCAATAATGAATAACTATCAAATTAATAACGAATTATTAAAATAATAACACTTTAGAAGAGAGAGAATGAAAAATGAGAGAGAGCTTAATTTAAGTGTTGTTGTTGTAAATTAATTGCAATGATTATTAGTTTAATGCATAAAAACTTTATTTTAATTTTTTAAGACTATTGATTTAATAATAAATAATATTTTATTAAAAATTGATTGCTGTTGATTTAATAGCATCTACTATGGATTTAATAATAAGATTACTAATTTTAATAAAGAAATTTATTAAATTGATTGGCCAAAATGTCAATTTAATAAAATAAAATTTTTTGTTTAACAGTAGCAATTGTTAATTTAACAATACTCTCTATTAATTTAATTGCAAGTTAGGGTGATATTAATAGTAAAAACTGTTGATTTAATAAAAGGAATTGTGACTGTTAATTTAATAATTCGTTGATTATATTAACAATATTTATTATTATGAAATTGAATTGCTGTTGTTCCTAGTGAACAAAAAAATTAACAAATTTTTTCTATGCTAAAAAAATTTTTATCAAGATATAATAATTTTATTACCACATTCAAATTATTATCTTGGTAAAATCTTTTTTATCATAAAAAAATTTAACATTTTTTTTAATTACCAGGATCAACAACAATTCAGTTTGAAAGTAATAAGTATCGTTAATATAACCATCGAATTACTATCTTTACAGTAACAATTTCTCTTATTAAATAAATAATTTTACAATAACTTTCTAATTTAGAAAATAAAACATTATAGTTATACTTTGAAACTGAATTTAACCAAATTTTATTTTTCATTATTGATGAACTAATTCATGACACTATTTCATATTTCATATTATTCATTACATACAAAAATATTAAGCTCTGTAAAAGTTATTTTTTACATCTAAATTAATTAATAAATTGATTATTATATTAAATTTTTTATTGTTGGGTGTCCGTTATTTTCTTTTAATTCTTAAAACAAACTCTTGAAGAAAAGTCCAGAATGATGATGCTGGCTGAGTATATTTAAGATGAAAAACATGAAATAATTTGAAGCATATATCAATAGCCCTTGAATTAAAATGTTGAATTGAATAATCTGAAATTTAAATTAAAGTATTACAATAACAATTTACTTTCCCAATTAATTTCTCTTTGATAGAAAAAATAGTTTAAACTTACTTTCAATTTTTTACCAAAGCAAAATGCGTTCTTCTAAAAGCACTTGAGCTCCTAATTGTATATACTTCTATGTCTTAAATTAAAAAAAATATGGTGTGGCTGCAAGTGTAAAAACGTTTGCACATCTATGTTTGCTTCTACGTATACACATATTCAACAAGAAAAAAAATAATAAAATTTAATTTAATCTTTACGAAAATTTTCGTTTATTAACTTACCTTGAAAAATTTCCTTAATTTTACATTTTCCTTATTTTATTCTATTTTATAACTTATTTTATTTTTTTATTCCTTATTTTAAGTTATAAATACTTTAAAATTCTCACTAATTTTTTTTTTGACAATTAGAACTGAATTTTATTTAAAGTTTCACAATTGTTACTGCAACAATACAGAATATGTTGTTTGTTTTGCTTCTAGATGACTACTAAAATATTAAATGAGAAATTTGCAAAACTCTTTCTTTTTATTTTTATTTTGATAAATGTTTTTATTAAAATTATAACATTTCGTCAAAAATAATAAATTTGTTATTGAAATAATAAGCAAAGTTATTATTTAAACAACTTGAAATTTATATCTCTCAAAAAATCCCGTTATAAAGAAGTAGACAACTGTCTCCACTCCCAAAATATTTGAAAATTTTGTAAGTAATAACATTAACGTATAATGATATTTCAACAAAAATAATAAACTTGTTATTCGAATAATAAGCAATGCTATTATATTAATGACTTTAAACATACATTGCTCAAAAAACTCGAAAGATCTCTTGTTAATAATTTACATTATTCTCTCACTCTCAAAAATTTCGAAAATTTTATTGAAAAAATTATTAAACGAACAAATTGGCTATTATTTTAAAAATCGATTCTAATTTTAACAAGAAGTAACGTTATACTGATGATTCTTATTATTAATTCTATGACTTGCGATCGAAATAACAATTTTTGTGATCAAAATAATAATAAATATTTTTTTTTTAATAACAAATTTTAACAATTTTTGTTATTATTTCAAAAGTAATATTTTCAGAGACTATTTCGGAGAAGGTTGTACATTTGATAATTTTTTGCATAGTTTTAATAATAACGTTTATTATTTCAAAAACTTTGGTGATTATTTTAAAAATTTTGTTGTTTAAATGTAAGTTTGAATGGGCGATTATAAAAAAGATAATCTTTTACAGTTCAAATAATAATAAATGACATTACTTTCATAATAAATGACATTATTTTAATAAAAATGATTGTTAAGGTTTTTAATAAACTTTTTAACAATCGATTTATTAAAAAAATAGTGAAATTTTTTTGAGTGGAAGCTGTAATTGACCTTAAGTCTTCGTTGTTTCAACTTTTAACACAATATTTTAATGAAATTTTTTAACTTTGTTTTTATATGATGTATTTTCGAAATTTATTTTTTACCTTTTATTACATTTTTTAAAAGTTTTTTTGCATTTTATTTTAAAATTCAATTGTAAGGCTTTTAAGGCCTTTAATATAATAATTTTATTAATTATTAAAGTAATCATTATAATTTTATAATTATTACTTTAATAATTAAGTAGGAATCTACGGTTCCTTCTTAATTATTAAAGTAATCTTTGTTTTTTGTTATGACTATGAGTTTACATCAGTTTGGGGCTAACATCAGTTAACAGTTCTTATACATCTTTTCAATTTCTTTCACTTTTTAAATTCTTTACACAGTTTTTATAATTTTCTCTAATTTAAAATCAACATTAAAACGTAAAAATAATACTAAATCTGATTATTATCTAAATTATTATGCAAAATATTTAACTCTAAACTTAAGCGATAATATCAGGCGTATTTCATATAACAAATATAATTCAAATTAACGTTAGTACATATAGGTATTGAAAAATATTGTTAATTTCCCTAAAAGTATGCAATTAAATTTTAATATGTAAATTTAAAATTCGAATTTTTACAATTTATGAAAATGCTATAAATCACAAACACAATCATGAATATTTAAAGATATTGCTCATATTATTTTTGTAGTTGAACATCGTTGTATATAATAAAAACCCTTAATAATAAAGCAATCATAGAATATGTACAGGTACATCTAAATTCACATCTGATTTAAAGAAATTTAGAGCAAACACTTTTTTCTAAAAGAAATGCTTAAATTTAATAATGAGGTTACCCAATAAATAAAACTATTCAAAGCTTAGCGTTTATATAGTGTATTTTATAGTGAATCGTAAAATTGTGATTCCTTACATTAGTATACCAACAATTTTTCCATATTCTGTTATAAAAGTATAATGTAAATTAGCAGTACGTACAAATTTATATGCATCCGACCAATGCACTCAAAAATTGTCACTTAATTTCAATTTAATGAAAAAATTTCTTTTAAAGTCATGAAATCAAAAACAAATAAAAAGTTGTATCTAAATCAATTTCGAAAGCAAATCAAACACATAGGGAATAAAAAATTACATGAAATCTAATATCATGTAAATCCTTTTATTAAATATAAATATTTTTGCATTAAGTTGTTACATTATTAAAATCCGTTTATAGAATAGTAAATTTTTAATTTGAAATAAAACACTCAATAGTCGAAGGAATTAAGTTTTTAATGGAAATAATTTACTCTTTTTTATGAATAATAAATGCTCAACAAAATCTTTGTGAATTTAATAGTGCATGAAATGTAATAAATGTTTAAATACATGTTAATATTTCAAAGAATGTATAAATAAAATTGATATTACATTACATTGAGTGT